GCTGCAGTAAGTGATGATCACCCCTTTGCACTCCAGCCTGGGTGACAGAGTGAGACCCTGTATCTAAAAAGTAGAAATAAAAATAATGGGCAAAGGACTTGAATAGATATTTCTCTACAGAAGATATGCAAATAGCCAATAAACACATGAAAAGATGCTCAACATCAGTACTCATTAGGAAAATGCAAATCAAAACTACCATGAAATATCACGAAATCCATTAAGATGGCTGTTACCTATAAAGCAGAAAATAAATTGAGTGTTGGTGAGGATGTGGAGAAATTGGAGCACTTTGCACTGCTTGTGGGAATGTAAAATGGTGCGCCTCCTGTGGAAAACAGCATGGTGGTTCCTGAGAAAATTTAACAATTGTGGTATGATCCAGCAATTCCACTTCTGGATATATGTCCAAAAGAATTGAAAGTATAGAGACTCAAACAGGTATTTGTACACCCATGTTTGTAGCAGCATTAATTCATCATAGCCAAAAGGTGGGAGCAACCCAAGTGTCCATCGACAGGTAAATAGATAAACCAAATGTGATATATGCACACAATGGAATATTATTGAGCCATAAAAGAATAAAATTCTTTCACATGCTATAACATGACTGAAACTTGAAAACATATGCTAAATGAATTAAGCTTACAAAAGGACATTCAGCATGATTTCACTCATTTAGTATTTAGAGTAGTCAAATTCATAGAAATACAAAGTAGAATGTTGGTTGCCAGGGATCCCAGGGAGGAAGAATGGGGAGTTATTGTGTAATGGATGCAAAGTTTCAGTTTGGGAAGATGAAGAAGTTATAAAGTTGATTGGTGGTGTTGGATGCCAAGTTATATACACTTAGTGCCACTAAACCGTATACTTAAAAAATGTTTAAGAGTAGATTTTTTTTGGCTGGGCGATGGCTCAAGCCTGTAATTCTAGCACTTTGGTAGGCCAAGGTGAGGGGATTGTCTGAACCCACAGGTTCGAGAACAACCTGGGCATTTGGCTACACCCCTTCTCTACAGTAAATCAAAAAAATTAACTGGAAGTGATAGCATGTGCCTATAGTTCCAGCTATTTGGAAGGCTGAGGCGGAAGGATCACCAGAGCCCAGCAGGTCAACACTGGGGTGTCCATGAGCGTGCCACTGCACTCCAGCCTGGGCAACTAAGTGAGACTCCAACTCAAAAAATAAAAATAAAGAATAGATTTTTGTGTCATTTATGTTTTAACCACAATAGGAAAATACAGGTGAATTAGAGACAGATAATGGATAGTGTGAGATCTATTACTGAGTGCAGGCAGTGCAATCTTGCTGAGGGAGCATAGACCTCAGAGCTGGAAAAGACAAAAAGTTCTCAGAGCGTGGTCCCCGGAACTGCAGCGTGTCGTCTCCTGGGATTGTGAGTTCTCTTGATCCCTTCTGAATCAGAAACTAGGAATGGAGCCAGCAATCTGTATTTAACAAACTCTCCTGGAGATTCTGACAAGAATCCTTGATCTAGTCAAAACCACCGCTTTAAAGAGAAGGACTCTGTTGTCAGAACTCATCAGTGGACCCTGTGATCAAATACCAGACTGTGGACTGGTGAGTATGGTGAATATGGTAAGTAGAGATGTAACCAGAGACCATGCTGCATGTTAGTGTGGTGCCCTGCTTATCAGGGTGGTGTGGTAAATACTAATAATAAATTGACTTTTTTGATCTGCCTGGGAAGATTTCACAGAAAAACGGAGCTTCTTAGATTTTGGAGCTCAGTTTCATCCAAACCGTTAAGAATTGTAACTCATTTTTAATCACTGCCAACAATCTTCAGTATGTTGCTCTCCCAAGTAAGTCCAAACTCCTTGTCTTCTATAATGCACTTTGTGATATTTCCCTAGGATAAATATGTAGGTAAATTTTAGTGAATTCTGCTGATTATGAAATTACCCACTTTATACTTTTTTATTTTTTCAATTTGGAGTCTCACTCTGTTGCCCAGGCTGGAATGCAGTGGCACGCTCACAACCACCCCAGCATCAACCTGCTGTGCTCCAGTGATCCTTCTGCCTCAGTCTTCCAAGTAGCCGGAACTACAGGCGTGCACTACCATGCCCAGCTAATTGTTTTGATTCATTGTAGAGATGAAGTCTAGCCAAGTTGCCCAGGCTGTTCTTGAACCCGTGGGCTCAGGCAATTCCCTCGCCTTAGCCTCCCAAAGTGCTGGGATTACAGGCTTGAGCCACCACACCTAGCCATTTTTATTTACATAAAAAAATGCGTCATACACTAAGCAACCCCTCCTTGAAACTCCTCAGCTCCTATGACTCCCCTGTTGGGTTTGTCTCGTAAATATCTGACTTCTTCTTGGTCTCTTTTATAGCATCTTCTTCCTCTGCCCACATCTTTGACTTTAGACTTCCCCAAGGTCCCCTCTTGGACTCCATTTTCCATGATTGTGATCTCACCCACTCCCTCATTTCAGTTATAATTTATGTGTTGGTAGCTCTTAAATGGTTACTCTAGCTCAGATCTCTCCTAAACAGCAGACTGGTTTATCCACCTCCTATTAATAGCTGATCTATTTTCAGCATTGCCTTCTGTTAATTCATGTACATCACTGTCATCAGAATATTTTTGTTTTTAAGTTCCAAAGCACATACTTTAGAAAAATTAGAAAATATTAACAAGCATTAACATTCATTGAGGAGGAGGGGAGGATAAAAAACCACAAAAAAGCAATCCACCAAATCCGAAATGTAGGACATTCTGTAGGACAAATGGCTGGGTGTTTTCAACACACGGAAGGGAAAAGGGAAGACTGTTAAGATTGAAAGAGCTGAGCTCAGTGGCTCAAGCCTGTACTCCCACCACTTTGGGAAGTGGAGGCAGAATGACTGCTTGAGCCCAGGAGCTCAAGACCAGCCTGGGCAACATAGTGAGACCTTGTCTCTACAAAAAAAAATTTTTTTAAGTTAGCTGGGTGTGGAAGCATGTACCTGTGGCTCTAGCTACTTGGGAGGCTAATGCAGGAGGATTGCTTGAGCCCAGGAGTTGGAGGCTACAGTGAGCTGTGATCATGCCACTGTGCTCCTGCTTGGCAACAGAGTGAGACCCTGACTCAAAAAAAAAATTAAAAGAAATTTAAGTAACAACAAAAAAATGCAATATGTAAACCTTGTTGGAATCTCGACTTAAGTCTGCAATAAAAAAAAAAAATACTTGGGACCTTTGGGGAAATTTAAATATGTACTGGGTGTTAGATATTAAAGAATTATTACTAATTCTTATAGTTATAATAAAGGCATCATGATTATGTACAAAAAAAGACCATATGTTAGATATACATATACAAATGAAATGAGATCAACAAATGTAATTATTGCAGCTGGATGTTCATTATTCTACTTTTGTATATATTTGAAAATGTTAATCATAAGTCGAAAATGAAAGGGCAGGTCAACTAAAAAGGAAAAAGTAGAAATAAGTGAGGAAAAAAACCCTTCCATCCTGGGAATTCTTGTTTACAGAACCAAAGGGCTATATCTGGTAAAAGTCCTTGACTCCAGCAATCAATCCTGGCAACAAATCTGTGTTTATCTCATGCACACGTCCTCTGTTTCTCTGCAATACATACGAAGCTCTCAGATGGCTTCTCAGGGACAGGAAGTTGTTTTTTCTGTTAAAAGCACTAATACTTAGCACCACTATTCTGCAAGGAAACAAAATACTACAGAGACTACCGAGTAGAAGGACTACTTCCCAAAGACGGCATTCCTTTTCCAGTCACTAGAAATGTGGTTATTAGGAAAATAGCATTGATGAGCATGTGTGCAGGAATAACGGAAGCCCAAAGCATCAAGTCAAAGTAAGATTAGGAGAGAAAAATTGGGAGTTCCTTCGGATCCGGGTTTAATATAGTATCCAAAAAACAAAAAACTTTACCCTACTTGTTATCCTTCCCCTTCGCATTATCTTCAGTAACAGTGCTTGATAATTCTCAGGTGTCCACAACACTGCAGAGTGCCAGGGAGCTAGCAAGCTCCAAGTCTGAAGTTACTAAGGCTATGTCTGGTGACATGTAATACACAGGTCCCTACATTTCCCCTCCTTTGTCTAAAAGTGAAACTTAAGTAAATCTTGGCATTTAGCTTTCCAACGTGGTGGTAATTTAATGAGTAGATTCTAATTTTAAGCTCTTACCCAATTTTAATGTGAGAATCAATGAAATACATAACATTAAACCATTTTTAAATTTTGGGAAGAAAGACACTATGAAAGCATGATGGCCGCGCTCGGTGGCTCAGCCTTTAATCCCAGCACTTTGGGAGGCCAAGGAGAGTGGATTACCTGAGTCCGCAGGTTCTAGGCCATCCCAGGCAACTTGGAGAGACCTCATCTCTACAATAAATCAAAAATTAGGCAGGCATGATAGTGCGTGCCTGTAGTTCTGGCTACTTGGAAGGTTGAGGCGGAAGGATCACCGGAGCCCAGCAGGTTAATGCTGGGGCGGCCATGAGCATGCCCCTGCACTCCAGCCTGGGCAACAAAGTGAGACTCCAACTAAAAAAAAAAAAGAAAAGGAAAGGAAAACGTGAGTTAATACTTCTTGAATTGGTAAAAACACAAACCTCACTTCCTTACAAAGTTTTGAGACCAAAGACCATAATAAAACAGACAGGAGCTTGTCTCAAAAAAACACTGTCCCCATTCCATACCTGTCCTTACTACTTTTTTGTGTGCTGTTGTAAATTCCTTGGCCATCTGACCAAGACAGTTCCCTCAATTTGGCTGTATCCAGTCTCATTTAGTGTATAATGCTATGACTGCAACATCATTAAATCAATGAAATCATTAACATCATTAAATCACGGAACAAGATTTTTTACATGAGGGGATGTCCCTCATTTAGAGTTCCTTTTGGATAAGATACTGGCAGTTGGTTTCATTCCGGGGAATTCTTGAGCGAAAACAATGGGAGGATAAGGGATTGTGAGACTTTTTTCCCCTAAAGAAAAATATCAATAAAATAACCCTGTTGACAGTGTAAAGAGTGCTTCTATCTGGGGTCAAGGCCAGAGCAATGGACACCTCATCCCACTCAGCCTCATCCTCTTCCTCTGATAGAGCCCTGAGCAGTGCTGATAAAGTCTTCCTCCTAAGAGCCTAGAGACCTTTTTTAAAAAGTGCTTGAGAAAGAAGGGGACAAAGGAACGGTGATATTAAGGGAACTTTCCAGTCTGTTTCTGGCAGTTGGTCCAGAAAGATGCCTCAGTTCCTGCTTCTCTCCTGCCTGTTCATCATGGTCACCTCAGTATCGCCAATGGGTGAGTCTTGTGTCAAGAACGTGGCACAGTGCACTCTTTGTTGTTGTAATTTGCTATTGTGTACATATTATTAAGAACTAGGCCTGGGCTTGGTGCTCGGTCTGTAATCCCAGCACTTTGGGAAGCTGAGACAAGTGGATTGCCTAAGGCCATGGGTTCGAGACCAGGCCGGGCAACTTGGTGAGCCCTCATCTCTACAATAAATCAAAAAATTAGCCGGCTGTGGTAGTGTGCACCTGTAGTTCTGGCTACTTGGAAGGCTGAGGACGGAGCGGGACTTCAACTCAAAAAACAAACAAACAAAAAAACTAGATTCCAGTTCTACAATCTCAGCACTTTGGGAGGCTGTGGCGGAAGGATCACTGGGGCCCAGCAGGTTGACGCTGGGGGTGACTGTGAGTGTGCCCCTGCAGCCTAGGTGACAAAGTGAGACTCCAACTCAAAACAAACAAAACAACTAGATTCTAGTAACTTCAATACTGGTTCTAGAGTTGTAGAAGCAAAGTCACTGATAACCTTTGAAAATATATTTTCGGGAATTCTGTTACATTTATCATTTCGCCTCTTGCCTGGGCATCCAAAATTTCCATGGGTCTACCACGACCAACTGCTCTCTGCTAGTCTTGGAATACGTATAAGAGGAATTCTAACCTCTTTATATCTAGGCACTAACAGATTTCTCGCTTCTTTTTCCAGTAAAACATGAATTCTAACTGGAAGAGAGGGTGAGGTGAGGTGGAGAGAACCATCCTTCCTGGCATTTTTGAGTAGCTCAGTATTTAATTATCCCTGATTTATTCACAGTAGCTTGGGCGTTGCTCTAGCACCTTTTTTGGTTTTGTTTTTCTTGAGTTGGAGCCTCCATCGCCCAGGCTGAAGGGCAGGGGCACGCTCACGGTCACCCCAGCGTTGACCTGCTGGGCTCCGGTGATCCTTCTGCCTCAGCCTTCCAAGCTGGAACTATAGGTGTGAGCTACCATGCCAGCTAATTTTTGATTTACGTAGAGATGAGGTCTTGCCAAGTTGCCCAGGTTGGTCTCGAACCCACATTCTCAGGCAATCCACTCGCCTCGGCCTCCCAAAATGTTGGGATTACAGGCTGAGCCACCGAACTGACCGGCTCTAGCACCTTTAAGGATACACATTAAAGATTGACTTGAGACCCTAAGGAGACATGAAAGCTAAAGGTAACCTGGTATCCTAGATGGGACCTTGGAACAGAGAAAGTTATAGGTAAAAACTAAGGAAATCTCCATAAACTATGGACTTGAGTTAATAATGTTACAACAGTGGTTCATTAATCCTGGCAAAGGTACCATGCTAACGAATGTGTCATATATAAGAGGGGAAACTGGGTGTGGGTATTGGAACTTGGTGCAGTCTTCTCAATTATGCTGTAAATCCAAAACTGTTCCAATCAATAGACTTGAGCAACCTGTCGTTAATCACCCAGTGTCCACTGCAGGTAGCCAACCACATGTCGTCCTCCTGGGAATTTCCACTCCCTTTTCTTCTCTTTTTTCTCACAGACACTCCCTGTAGTACCTCCTGCATCCTGCCATTCCTCCCATGCACCTTTGCCCTTCCCAGACCCCTTTCCCTCACGGCATTTCTAGGATACTTGGCTCAATGCCAGAAGCAAGATTAAGAGAGAACTTTAGGGGCTGAGGTAGGTGCTTGCCCTGGGAGAAGAGGGGAAGTGAGACAAGTGGGAGAAGGAGGGGTGAGAACGGAGAGGAGATGGGAAAGAGGGAACCAAGGAGGATGGGGAGGAGAGGGGATGTGGGAAGGGAGAGAGGAGGGTGCTTCTGGATCAAGCGCTCAGGCACAGGTTAGAAGAGGGCTGTGATCCAGGGGCAGCTGCTGGTACCGACCTGGAGGGCTGAGGGACTCAACCTCGCAAGGGAGGGGACCAGACATCTGCACACTTTCCTCGGCCCACGTGGTCTGGTGGAGGGAACTGTGGGGCAGCTGGCAGGTGGCTGTCCTCATAAAAGGCTGAGGAGCTCCTGGCAGGCTGGGAAGGAGCCCACAGAGCTGTTCTTTTTGAAGCCCTTCCATTAAGAAGTATAGAACGGCGATTTAGGAAGAATGTGCTTAATACCAAATTGTGATCTCCATACTAAGAGACTAAAAACAGGATTTTAAGACGAGTGGCCAGATTATTAAACGGTTGAATTGCTGCCTTAGATGGGGGTAGAATGGGGAGTGTACATGTAATGTCAGAAAATATTGAACGGTTAACTGTTTTTAAAAATTTTATTTATTTATTTACAGATGGTAGATAAATTTCTCCTCTTCATACCATATTTTCCCTACAGCAGGAGAGGAAGTGAACTTTGAACAAATAGCACAATAAATGACAGTTAACTTTAAGGAAAAACTTTATAAATCATGAAATAGTTATTGGAGAGAAGTTTAGGGACTTCTGCAGAAGCCATTAAAAGTTGAGTATCTAACCATTTCTTATAAAATTAGAGCCAGGGCAAGGAACCAAATATTTCCATGAATTTATAATCACTGTGAAATTGCTCTGGAAACCTTGCTTGTAAGAGAGAGTCACAGCTGGAAGAGCAGAGGAGGGAATTTTTCCCTTTCGAGAGAGCAGAGTCTGAGGACATTTTTTTCCTCCAAAGGAGCTATGGCCTAGAACTTAGTTGAAATATATCAGGGACATTTTAAAGAAGTAAGGTTGCTCTTACCACTTATAACTCTGCAAATGTGTTATTTCCAGAAAATTCAACGTTCCACTTCTTGTCTTTTGTTGTCGTAGGGGCCATTAACCCTATCTATGCCTTTCTCTATGTGTGACTGAAATGTGCAGGGTGAACTTGACCTTGAAATGTAGTTTGGGAAAATCTAAAATGTTTTCTAGATTTACTGATTATGACCCATCCACATTTGATTAATGAGCAGTATTTGCTAATTCCCTGCCCACGAAATGTATTGGTCCTTATGGGAATTTCCTGCCTACGATGTTAATTAAGGACATCAGATCCACATGCATTAAGAAGGATAGTACTTTCTGGCCAGGGCTCCTTTCTAGAATTTCTTGGTTTTATAGTTTCTTCATAAGAACAGTTCACCTTCATTAATTCACTAATTAGTTTCCCCAAAGTTGAGGGAATAATGAAAATATTGGAAGCCGGGCTCAGTGGCTCAGCCTGTAATCCCGCGCCTTGGGAGGCTGAGGTGAGTGGATTGCCTGAGCCCGCGGGTTCGAGACCCGCCTGGGCAACTTGGCGAGACCTCATCTCTACAATAAATCAAAAAATCAGCCGGGCATGGTAGCGCTCACCTGTAATTCCGGCTACTCGGAAGGCTGAGGCGGAAGGATCGCCAGAGCCCAGCAGGTTGAGGCTGCAGTGGCTGGGAGCGGCCACTGGCCTGTCCAGTCTGGGTGACAGAGTGAGACTCCAACTCAAAATAAAAAAGGAAAATATTGGAGATATTAGTGTCTTTAGCTATAAAAATATTTTTGATGAGATATTTGTCCTTATAACATGCACTTAACAAATGTGCTATCTGATAGCTTGGATAATTATGGCATGGCTAATTGTGAATACACAAAGTTCTTGCTATTTCCAATAAGCTGGTAGAATATATATCAAAATTGCCTTGAGAATTTCTCTGGTAACTACTTGCCAGTGTCCTGTGTATTTCAAACAGGCCTTTTTCTTTTCAGTGGAATGAGCTTTACACACTCTTGATCAAGTCAAACTTACCACTAATTCAAAATTATATCTTTGCAAATAGCCATCCAAATGCTTTTTTGAAAATCTTCAAAAATTGGAAGCTAACTACACTGTGATACAGTCTCTCCCATGACTGGAGAGCTGAACTGAAATATGTTTTCCCATAAAAATTTGTTCTTGCTGGACTGGGTGCAGTGGGTCACGTCTATAATTCCAGCACTTTGGGAGAGGGAGACAAGAGGATTGCCTGAGCCCAGGGGTTTGAGACCAGTCTGGGCAACTTGACAATAACTCAAAAAAATTAGCCAGGCATGGTGGCACATGCCTATGGTTCACCTACTTGGATGACAGAGGTGAAAGGATCACCTGAGCCCAGCAAGTCAAGGCTGAGGTGGCTGTGAGCATGCCACAGCACTCTAGCCTGAGAGACAGAGTGAGTCTCTGACTCAAAAAAAAAAATTGTTCTTGCTCTTGTTACAAAATAGCTAATTCCTCTTCCACAAACCTATTCCAGATTTTTAAAAACTAATACGAGTTTTTTTCAGTCTTCCATTTTCTAAAGTGTAGTTTTCAGCTTCTCCAGTAAACAAATTTTAGGCCTCTTTCTAAGTCTGGTCACCTTTTCTGGACAAACTTGTCAATTACTTTTGTAAAATACAGTCTTCATGTGTGAATACAATACTCAAAATATGGTCTGACCAGTGCAGAGTTCAGTGAGGCTATAATCCTAACTTCCCTTGATTCTATTAAACGATTGCTCTGGATAAAAAAGTTTAGTCTGATGCTAACACTAAACCTTAAATAGGTTTGAAATAATTTTGTAAAGGGCATTTATGAAACATGCTTAAATCAACTCGACGAACTTTTAAACAGCTGTTTGGAGAACTTAAACAATTTCTTTCTTGTACTCAAAAAAGTCAAAATGCGAGACCAAGAAGGTAAACTCAGGCTGTTGGCACCGTGACCTGAAACACCACTAGGTGGTTCTGAGCTCTCATTTTCATTTCCAGCCCTAGATCCTTGTTCTGCTTACATCAGTCTGAATGAGCCCTGGAGGAACACTGACCACCCATTCGACGAGTCCCAAGGTCCTCCTCTGTGCGACAGCCATGTGGACGGGGAGTGGTACCGCTTCACAGGCATGGCGGGAGATGCCATGCCCACCTTCTGCATACCAGAAAACCACTGTGGGACCCATGCACCTGTCTGGCTCAATGGCAGTCACCCCCTAGAAGGTGATGGCATTGTGCAACGCCAGGCCTGTGCCAGCTTCAATGGGAACTGCTGCCTATGGAATACCACGGTGGAGATCAAGGCTTGCCCTGGAGGTTACTATGTGTATCGCCTCACCAAGCCCAGTGTCTGCTTCCATGTCTACTGTGGTCGTGAGTACCTTCCCTGTGTTCTTTCCTTCCCAACAAGGCCACGGGTAGAGTCAAAGAGAAAGATGCCATAGGAAATTGAGTTATGGTGACAGGAGTATCTCAGAGTCTGAACAACATTGATTTGGGGCTAAAGATGCCTCCACTGTGATTTCTTAGACATGTTCTAATAGAATTTCTGAGAAATTCCTGAAGAAATAGAAAAGGAAAGAGGCTATGACTTTAATCAGTCATCTGTTATTTTGTCTTCATTCCATTCAAACAAAACATTAGAAAATGAAATTTTGATTTATATTATCTAAATAGTGACTTTCCAATCTTTTTGAGTATGGAGGACCCCTTTTTAAGAGTTCTATGATGATAGATAGATGGATAACTAGACAGCCATATAGTAGCATCATGCTTAGTATCCATTGATTTTTTTTTTTTTTTTTTTGCGTTGGAGTCTCACTCCGTTGCCCAGACTAGTGTGCAG